AAAAAAAAAAAAAAAAAAGGCAAAAACGAAAACAAGAATAGAAAGGATGCTCTTCTAGACTTGAACTTGGAAAGGCATTGACCAATTTTTCAGGTTCTCTGTTCTAGCTCCGGCGCCGGCGGTCCTCTGCTCCGAACTCTCCACAAAGGTATAGTACCTCACCAGGAAGCCGAGTGTTAGCACCACCCACTCCATACAAAAGACCACCACGCACAACCCGCCGACCATCTTCAGAATCACGACCCCATCGTCTTCCCTAACATAAGAGTTCAGGTAGCCCAAGAAGTCGGCTGTTCTGGTCAAGATTAGCACCGAGACGGAGCCCTGGCAAATTGATGTCAGAACTGTTACCACCATGTGTGCGGCATAATACTTGTTTGACCCAGCAGTGGCGACGGAGCAGCCGCAGACGGCAGCGGCGATGGCAACTACGTTGAGGAGGATGAAGAAGAAGCCGCAGAGTGAGGGGATTAGGCGGAGGGAGAGGGTGAGGAAGACACAACTGGAGGCTGCGCCGAGGAGGATATAGTTGGATATGAGGAAGATCTTGTGGGTGCGGCGGTGAGATTGCGCCACCAAAGAAGTTGAATTGCCGTTGATGGACAGACCCATTTTTTGAGGACGAATCGAAAGTTGAAATCTGGAGAAACTGAGTCGGATTCTTTGTCGGCAGTGTTGTTTGAGCAAATTTTCTGGATATCTGAGAAATACGGGAGGGGAAATTTATAGAGGCAAAAGATCAGTTGCTGTCAGAATTTTCTAGTGGAAAACGTGAAATATGACCGTTGTGAGAGGAAGACAGCTAGAAGGAGCGTTTCTTTGCCAACGGCTAGTTTTCTCCATTGGAGCCTGTTAAATAAAATAAAATTGGGTTTTTCTAAGCTTTACCCGTAAAGGGTACAATATAAAAATTTTGAAAAAATAAAAAATAATATTTAATTTATAACTATCAAATTAAATTTATTCATGTGATATTTACTCTAGAATTAATGTTTATTTAAATTTATTACAAAAAGGTGCTATTAACCTATGCCAAAGGTTAAGAACTAATTATTCTTGAACAAAATAGACCCTTAATTTTTTTATGCTATCAATTCAGTCCAGTTGCCTGCTGGATCTTTGTTGCCAGCTTCAGCCAAACTGTTTATCCAATGAAGCTGTGGACAAAAGTATGCTATTTACCTTCGAAATTAACATGATTAGACAATTGAAGTGAACTTCACAACATTCCTTCCGAGCTTTTTCCTGTTTAAGTGCACTGTGATGCTAATTATGGTGCTGGATTTGCTTCTGTCACCACCATTCTGCTTTGATATACAGAGATATATAGCCATCAGTATAGAGTAATATTAGCTTTGCTACAATTTAAAAAACCAGAACTATCAAACTTGACTCCCTGAGGGCAAATATCATATCAACATTCGCTGACTGTTGCAAAACATCATGAGTTTACCAATCAATGTTGTATTCCATGGCAGTATCAGATTGTAAGATGGAAAGAAAATCGAGCAAAATGGGGTTGATTGCCAGAAACGAAAAATACTTGGGAAAGGTAAATCTACATAAAGTCATTAGAGACACCATCCATTTAAGAAACATGGGAATAATCATAATGTTGTTTGAATGCAAATCCCTATCTCCATTTTGCTGTGCATCAAATCCAAACAAACAGAATCAATTTAATCTACCTCTATTAAGAAGAAACACATCCCTGGATAGTTTTCTGGCAAATTTTCATTGCAATTCCTTAGTGTCCAAGTATGTCAGACGTCAAGCGAGAATCAATGCTTTAGGAAATAATCACTACCGTAAGTCTTGGATGCAAAAACCACCAGAAACAAAGTAGTCTAAGATGTACTTAAATATTAATACTTAGACACAAACTATGGTTAACATTCCATCATTAGTTAGAATTCCATTCTCAGGTTAGAACGGACCAATTTTTAGAAGTTAAATTCAATTCTTAACAAGTACTAACTTTAAGGATTCATGCTCCAACAGGATGGTGGAGCATAAATATTCCACTTAACTCATTATTGGTCAAAGAGAGTTTACTGGCCAAAGAAAAAAGGAGAATCTATCATAGAAAGTTTGAAACAGTTTAATTTAGAAATGAACCTGAAACAGGAGCACTCCAAAGAGGACAGGATTCCCATAACCTTAGAATGACATGCAGTTTCACTGGTTCATTATACTCAGAGCAATCATAACATTGAAGCACTTGATCAACATGCAGGACTGTCAAATGAGAACAAACAAAGATAAGGCACAAGCATGAAACAAAAAACAGATTGCTTTACTAAACAAATGGTCAGTAAAACAATCAATGAAACAGAAAAAACTATGATGATGAAACATTTGGTGATCCAGTGGCCAATTAACACAAAGGCAATATTGTTTGCAAGATGATGAAGAGCAAGCCAGAAGGGTGAGTCCATGGGGAGAGTAAGGGTGTGTGCCTCAAATTTTTTGTTCATGGTTCATTGTAAGGAAATGGGAGGGAAAAGATAGGCTTCATAATTCATTTCAATTTGGTTAAATCAAAGTGAAGTTTTAGTTCAATTTAAGGAGCATTCTAATAATATAACAAGAAATAATGATGCTGATTTACAAGAAGGTAGAAAATCGACTAGTTAGTAAACATGTTACTAGTGTTCTTAGAAAGGACAGGTTACTGTTGTTTAATCTGGTTACAATAGTTAGTTCTCAGTTAAGAAGGGGTTCATTAGATCAGATGTCTAGAAGAGGAATTCTTTAGCAATTTTCCGTTATGAAAAGTTTAGTAACTTAGTAAGTAGTTAGAAAGAGTTCGGTAAGTCGTTTTTTGTTATCGAAAAATTTTCTTAGTAGTTCCTTAATTAGTTCTTTGTCAAGAAGAGTATGTTAAATAGTTCTCAAAATTAAGAGTGAGTTAATTAACCACCAGTTTATAAAATAGAACATTTCAAGCATTAAAAAAAAAAAAAAGGAAGAAGAAGAAGAAGAAGAAGAAGAACATTTTGAAAAATATAACTTTCATTGATCATTTATGCTATTAAATTAACATTAACGCGGCAGGAAACCTAAAAACTAAGAATATTGATTTTACATACATTGCCAATATTCAAGAAAATGTTTAGAGAATTCCATATTTGGAATAACAAAAAATGATAAAAAAACAAATGTATCAGAGCCTTTTGTTTAAGGCAATCACTCTATATTTGTCAAGAAAATCTAACACTACATACCATAATTAACAGGTACATTGCATTAGGATTGTGTACCAAATTTGTCCCTCATGTATCAGATTATGTATAGGACTTTTTTGGGATTTAGACATTCTCTATAGAGCAAAAAAAAACCCTAGTTTTCCTCTTATAAATACTGCTAAATCCACCATTGAGCATCCACACCAGACAAATCTTATTCCCTAGTGACCAATACCACACAAACTATTTGCTTCCATAAAATGAGTGAGAAAATCTCATTTCTATGGTTGCTGCTAGAAGAGAAAGAAGATGAGGGCTGGACCAAGAGGAAGAAGAAAAGAAGAAAGAAAAATGGTAATCAAGGTGCAAACCATGTTGCTGATTATCGGATTAGTGATTTACCAGAATATCTTCACAATTAAGGTACATATACAGTCACCTTTCTCACATAATATCTAAAGCATATTGTATTTTATTTTTTGGGAAGGGGTTGGGATCCTTTGTGCACATATATCAGCATTCATTAGAAGGATAGTTGCTTAAGATAATTATCATAGAAATACTGAAACACAGGAAAATTCAGACAAAAAATGATTAGACATCATAAAAAGTGTTAGCTTTTGTTAACTTTTGGATGATCTAAACTAAAACTTACATACCAAGAATCTCCTTGTTTTGCAGGATTTAGGAGAGAACTATCCCGATCTAGTAATGCTGTAGGCCTCTCTGAAAGGATATCTACTTCACTCTCTTCAACAGTGAAAGGAGGTTGTGCAACAAATACACTTCTTAAAGGAGACATTTCAGAGCACAAAGACGATCCATTTGGGGATGCAGGTGCAGATGGTAAATCCTCTGATTCCTTATTGTCTGAAGATAAGGAAATCTTGCAGTACAAAGACAAAACCAGCCTCCAACAGGACCTTCCTGCAATACAAACAAAATGTAAGCCTTCTATATGAGAAGGACGGGAATAGGCATAATGATTAAAGATCTTGCTTACAATCTACACATTTGGAGGCAGACAAAATCACTAGAGTCTACAATTCCTTAGGCATGTATCACAATTAAAGCAAAAACTTGCTAAACTTAGCTAATTCTGTGCAGCAAAGACAGTAGATAAACTTAAAAAGACTGATTATTCCTTCCAATATAGATTTTTATTCCTTCCAATATACTCCCTTTGTTCAACTTTAGTAGTCCTAGTTTGACTCTTTGACTTTTTGGACATGAATTTCAGTGGAAAATTTAAAACCTTTATGAATAACAATTGAAAATTTTTTTCCTACATGTATTTCTTGTTGAGAATTTTTATTTGATAAAAAAAAATAATTATCATTTATATAATATGTTAAATTTTTCATATGAAATTTATGTCCAAAAATTAAAACTAGGACTACCATAGTTGAATGGAGGTAGTAGATGATTATTC